TTAAGGGAACCCACTTTGAGAAACACCGCTCCAGCCTTGGACTCCCTCCCGCCCCCAGTTCTCACCCGCCTTCCCCTCCGCCGGCACCGCTGTCCCACGTGGCGGGAGGGGCGTCCCTCCTGCTCCCCGCCACTCCGCTTTCCGTTATTTTGGAAACGCGAGTCTCTCCCGAGGGCCCCTTTCCTCCAAGCAGCCATCGGCGCCCCTCGTCCTACCAGGCCTGGGTGCCAAGTGGTAGGGGAAGCGCTTAGTCCTGCGGGGAAGGCTTCCTGGAGGAGGGAGCATTGAAGGGGAAGTGGGTGCTGGGTGGTCTGCAGGGATAAGCGTGGCAGGTAGAAGCAAAGGGGAGGCCGAGGTGGCTGAAGGGAAGCAGGGGGGTTGGATGTAGTGTGAAGTGCAGTGGGGAGCCTGGAGGGCGCAGAGAAGGGGCCTGACAGGCTCAGGTTCTGGTAGACGGAAGGGTCAGGGGTTTGATTCCCGAAGGCAGGTACCTAGGTTGCAGGTTTGATCCCATGTAGGAGGCAACCCATCAGTGTGTCTCTCTCGCATTGCTCCCCCCCCAAAAAAAAAAATCAATGGAAAAAACATCCTCGATTGAGGATTAACCAAAAAAAGATCTGTCTGGTGCTGGTGGAGAACAGATCACAGAGATGGCAACAGAGAGGCCACGGGAGCCAGCTGGGGCCATCGCTAGTCCAGACTTAGATGCCCCTGGCTTGGACTGGGCGGAGCAGCCGCCATCAGGGATGGAGGGAGTGGAAGGGAGGCTGTGAAGGCAGAGCTGGCAGGATTTCCTGTTGAATTCGGTGAGGGGTGAGGGAGAGGAGGTTTGGGGGGACAGGAGACAGAGGAAGAACGGGCTTATGGCGACGTCATGTCGAGTTTAGATTCAATAGTGCAGGTCCTAGTGGAGCCGGGGAGGAGGCTGGGCTGGAGGTGGCCACTGGGAATTACAGCTGTTAATGCTTTTCCCATCGACCGGCTCCCACCTTGCTCCTGGTCTGTGCCCCTCCCAGTGCTGGGCCTGCAGCCCGGACCTTGGTGGGAGAGGGAGGAAGGCCCCGGGGGCAGGGGTTCATCCTGGGCGCTTATGAGCTGGGCTGGGCCTGAGGCACACGGAGCAGCCCTGCTAACTGGCAGCCTCCCCGCCCCCCCCCAGACCACTTCCACATGCAGTCTGAGTCTCTGATCGGCCCCCTGATGCAGAGCATCTCCCACCAGCACTGGAAGGTCCGGGTGGCCGTCATTGAGGCCACGGGCACGGTGATCCAGTTTGGCAACGGGAAGTCGGTGGACGACGTGCTTCCTCACTTCTCCCAGCGGCTGTTCGACGACGTCCCCCAGGTAACAGGAGGTCCCGGGGTCCCTCTCCTCCGCAGGAAGGGAGCAGTGCTGCGGGCTGGTGTCACTCACTGTTTCTTAAGATGTTACAACTAACGCCCCACATCAGCCCCAGGTTCCCACTTCTCAGAAAAACTGGGGAGAGCTGAGTCCTCTCGATACATTTGTTATTCTTAACCCCAAATTGATACATTTGTTATTCTTAACCCCAGAGGACTGTTACCTTTTAGGAGAAAAATCTCGCTGTGTCTTCGTAGTTTACAGTTGTATCTTTAATGTGCCCCCCCCAAGGCGGGCCTGGTGGAAAAGCCACAGTGGTTGGCACCAGGCCTGGGAGGAGGCGGAGAGACGGGGTAACTCGTTACATGGGGCTTTAGGTTGAGCAAAAGACAGGCAGGTGGAGCTAGGAATACTGGCCTTTTTGTTAGCAGAAGCCAGCTCGGGGCATGTTAGCTTATAAAACGTCACAGAGGCAGAGGGAAGGCTGCAGCAGGCAGGCTGTGTCCCCAAGGGAGGAGACATGAAGGGAAGGAGTGCTCAGTGGGGAGAAAGTGCCCCTGCCATTGGCTGTAATGCCCACTGAGTGGCGGCCTGGCCCGTGCCCCGGGCGGTGGGAGTGTTAGCCACGTGCACAGAGCACTGCGTCTGGCCGCTCCCATGTCGTGTAACTCACAGAAGTTTGTCACATCTGCTGCTTTCCCTGCCCTGAGGTCTGGAGCTTGTGTGACGCGCTCAGGGTCACCCAGCTGGAGCGAGCCTCCAGGCCCAGGCCTGGTGACACCAGGCTACTCTCTGGGACTGCCCTGCCTCCCAGCCACAGGCACACTGCCTGTTCTTCCCAGTTACTTTGCATGTTTTTTTTAAATTGGAGAGGAAAGGAGAGGAAGAGAGAGAAACATCAATGATGAGAGTCATTGATTGGCTGCCTCCTGCACTCCCTTTACTGGGGATCGAACCCATGACCTGGGCATGTGCCCTGACCAGGAATCAAACCACGATCTCCTGGATCATAGGTTGGTGCTCAGCCATTGAGCCACACCGGCCAGGGTACTTTGCTTTATTTTTTAAAACAGCTTTATTAAGCTATAACTCACATACCATACAATTCATTTAAAGTGTTCAATGTTTTTGATGTAGTACATTATTTTTAAAATTTTGGGTAAAATACATGGAACATAAAATTTGCCGTTTTAACCACTTTTAAGCATACAGGTCAGTGGCATTAAGTACATTCACAGTGTTGTGTGTTCATCCCCACTGTCCAAACAGAAACCATGACCATCACGCAGTAGCTCCCTCTCCTCGCCCCCAGCCTCTGATAACTAGTCTTGGTGTCTCTGAGTCGTCTGTTGAAGACGTTCCCTGCAGTGGAATCACTGTGCTCTGCGGGTGCCGTTTCTCACGAGCACCGTGTGTTCAGGGTTCAGCGGTGTTGTGGCCCATGCAGTGCTTCCTTCCCTGTGAGGCTGAGGAGTGTCTACGGCACAGATACGGCTTTGCCTGTCTCCTCGGGCATCTGGGACGCAGGTGTTTCCACCTTTGGCTGTTGTGGATGCTCCTGCTGTGGACATGGGTGTGGAGCTGCCAGCTCTCATCCCTGCTGTGCTTTGGGTCTCGCCCTGGCCCGTGATAACTGTTGAGCACGCTGAAGAACTGCCAGGCTGGTTTCCACAGCGCTGCACCACCCTGCACCCCTTCATGTCTCTACGGTCTCGCACACTGTCGTTTCCCGGGTTTTGTTGGTTTGTTTGGAGTCATCCACGTTGGTGTGGTGGTGTCTCATGGTTTTGATTTGTGTTTCTGTAACAGTAGTGACGTTGAGCATCTTTTCATGTGCTTGTTGCCACATTGTGTATGTTACATGTCATGGCATTCAACTTGCACAGCTCTGTTAGCACGTGTGGACAGACAGACTGAAAGGGAGAGCCCCGGCCTCTGCCCCCAGGTCCCAGAGCTGCAGGGGCCGGAACAAGCAGGCTCTGCTGGAGCCACCCTGAGCAGCCCACCCCAAATTCAAGCGGGTGCTGCTGGGGCCCAGGCCCACAGCCAGCTCGACCCCCTTTGCGGAAACGCCCGCATATTCATCGCCTCCCGTCAACAGCCCTGGGCAGCAACTGGCCCCATCCTCGGGTGGGACAGTGCTGTGCTGTCTCCCATTCCTGCGCTCCCCAGACCAGGTGCAGGCTAGGCTTCACCCGGGCGACATCTCTGTCCCTCCTGCTTCCCTTCACTGATAATGTAGGGCACCCACATCCCCTCTCAGGCTCTGCCCTCAGGGAGCTAGACCTAGGGCACCTGGTGCTTTTTAAGCTCATTTCTTCCCTGTGGCAGGTAAAGTAGGTAGAGGTGCCCACGTCACCTTTTCAGATGGCCAGCAGCAGAACTGAAGGTGCCCCGCTGGCTTCCCCAAGAATCCCAGCAGGTGCCCACACAAGACTTTGCAAACCCCATTTTGCTCAGCAGCGTGAGATTTTGGTCTTACCAGTGGAGGATCAGGCCGGAGCCCAGAGAACTTGGGCTGGACCATCAACCGTGGCCCCAACACTTCCTCTCCAGGCCTGAGAGGTGGACTGCGAGCCAAGCGAGCCCCAGGAGCAGCTCTGGGGCCCGGGCTTGGCAGCTCACCTGGTGGGCTGTGCTCCATGACCGTGCCCCACGCTTGCCTCAGTGTTGTCTGCCTGTGTGACCCTTGCCCTCTGTCACATGCAGGTCCGACAGGCAGTGACCCGTGTGGTGGGGGGCTGGCTGCTGAAGCTGCGGGACCGCTATTCCTTCTTCCACAAGCTCATCCCACTGCTGCTCAGCAGCTTCGACGACGAGATGCCGCACATCGCGTGAGTGACATAGCGGCTGCCAGCCTCTGTCCCGGTGCTGGGAGGCGGGTGCTGCCCACCTTGCCCCCCTCTGCTGCTGCAAGTGCAGCTCCCTCGCTGCTGGTGGTCAGGGACCCGCCTGTCCTGAATCGTCACTGACAACGGGAGTCCACTGACAACGGGAGTCCTGTCCTTGGCTCGGGGTCCCTGACAGAGCCCACCCCCTGCCCTTAGTCTGTGTGGGGTCACCTGGCATAAAAGGGCCCTGTGATTTTTAAAATATAATTTTGCCTTTTTAATACTTTGGGTACATGCATAGGATTCAGCTCCTAGTCCTGTTGGTAAAGGGATCAGATGCCCAACAGAATTGGTCAGTTCTCAGGAGACACTCGGCACCAGATCCCTCCCAGGCCCTCCCTGTGTCTGTCTGTCCTGCAGGCACGAGGCCGCCAGCCTCTGCGAGCCCCCCTGACCATGTTCCTGTGTCTGTCCTGCAGGCACGAGGCTGCCAGCCTCTGGGAGGAGGTCGGCCTACAGTGGCAGGAGGAGAACAGGGAAGACCTCAAGGACAAGCTTGACTTCGCCTCTCCCCCTCCCGCCCATCACCCCTCGCCAGGTAGGTGCACCCTCCCCAGGACAGTGACAGCGACGTGGGTGGACAGCCTGGGAGAGTCTCTCCAGCAGATGGGTGTGGAGCCCAGGCTGCAGCGGCTGAGAGCCGGGAGGTGCTGTGGGGGACTCATGTCCTCGGCCTCAGGAAAGGCTGTGGGGTCCTCCCCGCCCCCAGGGCTAGCGCTGTTGTGAAGAGGCTCCCTCAGGTGTCTGGGTGCCCACGGCAGGCGCTCCCTGGCTCCCATGGGAACCTCACCCGGGTGAGGCCCCAGGTGCAAATGCAAGGTCAGCAGTAGCCGCTGCTGCTGCTGGAGAAATTTTGGAAACAGGCGGTACTTTGTCATTTACCAAAACAGCTGCTTCTGTAAGCTTCAGGTAGAGCAAACAAGCCACAGGGAAGGTGAGAGCCTCTTTTTGGGGTGATTTCCGCATCCAGAACAAAGGCTCTGACTGTCGAGTAGGACACGGTGCTATTCAGACATGAGACCCACGCGGCCTCGCTGGTCTGTACAAGCCTGAGGTTCCTGTCCAATCCTCCCATCTCTGTCGCCCCTCCGACTACACATGGTCCCAGAAGGCCGTCCAGTGTCCTCGGCCACATGAAGTGTCCTCACCAGTGCTGACGCTGGAGCTGCAGCGTCCTTAACAGTCCCGCTGCAGAGAGGCAGGCATGCGACACAGGCTGGGACGACGTGGATCTCGGAGGGAGCTCAGCAAGGACAGAGAGGGTGGGCCAGTGCGCACGGGGCCGGCTGTGCACCCTGAGGCCCAGAGGACAGTGATGCTCAGAAATGGTTTCAGTTGGAGCAGAATAAACTTACCTGGGTCACAGTCACAGTTGTGCAGAAGCACGAGGTTTTGTTAGATTTTTGAAATTTTCTCCTAAAGTTATTTTTTCTTCCCTAAAATTTGAATTTTAAATCTGGTTTCAGATTTTTTTTTTAAACACTATTTTACATGTCAGCTCATATTAGCCTCGTTCTCAAAACCTCGCCATGGACCCCACCAGCTTCTCCCCTTGGGCCCTGGGACGTGCTTCTCCCCAGACTACACTCCATTCCTCCGAACAGGCCGACTTTTTAAATCATGACGTATCCACATGAGTAAATTCCCCCTTTCCTGGTAGGGCTCTTAGAGTTGACAAACACAGTCCTGTGACCTGGCGCCTGCTGCAGCCCCAGGCGGCCCTGTGGCACCCCCTGCGCCCCTCTAGCTGCCTCGTACTTTCTCCCCGTGGTTCTGCCTTTTCTCAGACGCCCTCCTGTCTGGGTCTCGGTGTGTGAGGTGTGGTTCCTCACTGCTGGTGGTTGTGTTCCATCTGTGGGCGTCGCGAGTCTGTGTCTCTCTCTCCACTTGAAGGACATTTTGGTCGTTTCCAGTGTTGGTGATTTCCCACGAGGCCGATGTCCGCACTTGCACACCGGTCCTGTGCGACTGTCCTCAGGGCAGGTGCTGAGCGGTGGGGTGGGGCATGGTGGGCTGGGTGCTGGCTGCACCGTGTGTGACTACAGGGCCTGCAGCTGTCCCAGGCACTGTCGTTTGCCTCCTCCGGCTCCCATGGCTCGTGGGGTGGTGAGTGTGCCACCTCTTCTTTGGTGTGCAGCAGGATCCCGTAGGGGTTTTGAGTCGGGTCCTTTGCTCTCCTGTTAAGGAGTTTCGAGACTCTGTGTACGTCCTGGACACGGTCCCTTGTCAGACCTATGTCGTGTGGCTCTTCTCTGCTAGTCCCCAGCTGGTCCCCACCTTGCGGCGTGGTGGGCACTGTGCCCTCCTCAGTGTCTTCTCCTCCCTCTCGCCTGCCTCACTCCCCTCTCACTGACATCCTGCTGCTTCTGAGTAAAAACCTCTGCTCTCCAAGAGGCAGGCTAGTCTGTGCCTGTGTCTCAGCACCTGGGACAGGTGCGCCAGGTGCAGAGTCAGCTCGGCAGGTATCGGCCGAGTGGGTGCTGTGTCCTCTCTCACCTGTGAGACAGATGGTCTGGTTGTGTGGCTGAAGCACAGATGAGCTTTGACAAGGGAACAACTCGCTGCTGAGAGACTGCACTCCAGCATCACACCTGTCAAACAGGTATGCCTGGGTCAGATCTGATCCAAGCCGGATCTCTCCTCCTAAGAAAATAGGTATGAATTTCCTGTTACAACACTGAAATAAACCCCCACCTTTGAAGCGAAGCCGCAGGCGAGACTATTGGCAGGGCCTCGTCTGTCTTCCAGTCGGGTGTTCACCTGACCAGGTGCTCCTCCTGTGAGGAGACGCTGGGCACCCTTGGCAAGTGTCTGCACTCTCATCTGCAGCAGAGCGAGGGTGACAGGTTCTGGGGGCTCTTCTGCCTCGAGGTCATCCTCTGCAAAACTGTTTTCCTTGGAAATGCTTGAGTGGAAGGAAGCCCGTCCTCACAGCGGGCACTGGCCGCAGGCCTTTAACAGGAGAATAGAGCTGGCTTTCTAACCCGTTTTCAAAGTAAGCCGAGTTCCAGTGAATAGTACCATTGTGAGAGGACTGCGTCCTACATAATGCCTCTGTGTTCCCAGGTTCTGCCCGCATGCTCACGGGCTCCACTTTGCTGTATGTTTCATCCAGGTGTTTGGAAGGTATCAGGAAAGGGGCCTGAATAGCTGTCAGAAATGTTACGCTATGCAGAGAAAAGGAGGGAGCGCCCGAGGAGAGGTGGCTGGGGGGCAGGTGTGCTCCGCAGGGAGCCCGGCAGGTATGAGCTCCGAATGTGAGGAAGACGGGTAATTGCCCACTGTCGGGCAGGAAAGGGACAGGGCCCCTGCCATCCAGCAGCCGCCGTAGCGCCTGGTTCACGTACACAGGCCCCAAACTCTGTCTCTGACCAGGAGCGCTAGGCCCAGATGGGAAAGGGGCTGGTCCCTGGCAGAGAGTCAGGCCAGGTCTCAGGTCCAAGCATGTGATCCCCCCTCTCAACCCCTCGACCCCACACAGAGGGTAGGTCGACCCCTAAGTGCTCCCTGGGCTCTGCTTCTGTACATGCAGAAGCTCCTGCTGAGCACAGCGCCAGCCTGCCTGCTGTGAGGGCTTCCGAATCCAGTCCCAACAGACCCGCCAGCGGACTTGGGGAAACAGATTAAAAAATCGATGGCCTGCCCTCGCCAGTTTGGCTCAGTGATTAGAGCTTTGGCCGGCGGACTTAAGAGTCTCGGGTTTGATTCTGGCCAAGGGCAGGTACCTCAGTTGCGGGATGATCCCCAGTTGGTACATGTGGGAGGCAGCCAGTCATGTTTCTCTCCCTCCCTTCCTCCCTCCCTCCCTTTCACTCTCTCTGAAAAGCAATGGAAAAAATATCCTCAGGTGAGGGTTAAAAAAAAAATCGATGGTCTGTTTTTCTGTTTGCGGTTAAACTACGCTTAGTCCAGTCGTGCAGACAAGATGCTGAGTTAGTGTTCTGCATGCTTTCCGAATGCTTCTGGCCCTCTTGTCTATTTTCTGCTGATCTTTCCCTGATCTGAGAGGCTGGGAGACGTGCTTAAATTGTCTCCTTGAGCTTTTGTTTGTGAAAGTGCTGCCATTGTGTTTTCAAAGAGAAGATTTGTGAGTAATGCTGAGCTTCCTGGGCTCCTGAGGGCCGTCTACAGTCTGGACAGGCAGGTCCTCATCCTCGGACCGCAGGGCACCTCCTCAGACCTTCTCAGGGCTCCGTCTGCTGCCGGGTAAAGAGCTCACCTTATGTCTGCATCAAAAGTGACCAGCTCTCGCCCGGCCCGCATGGCTCAGCGGTTGAGCATCGACCTAGGATCCAGGAGATTGTGGTTCAATTCCCAGTCAGGGCACATGCCCGGGTCGCGGGCTCGATCCCCAGTCGGGGGCGAGCAGGAGGCAGCCGATCAATGACTCTCATCATTGATGTTTCTCTCTCTCCCTCTCCCATTCTCTGAAATCAATAAAGATATATATATTTTTTTTAAATTAAAATGACCAGCTCTGCAGAGGAGCCTGGAGGCGCAGACTCAGGACCCCCTTGCCTACGGCACCAAGGCTCCATGGGCAGCTGCTGCGGGAGGCAGCTCGGCAACTTCCCAGAACATTCCTGTGCTCTTAGCGTGGGCTCCAGCCACTGCCTCCAGCACGCGGCAGACTGAGGCCTGTCCTCCCTGGATGTGTGTGCCCGTCCACAGCAGCCCCAACCGAAGTGACCCGGGGTCCCTCCACTGAGGGCTGGTCGCTCTGTGCACAGGTGTTATCTGGCCACAGCAGGAATGAAGTTATGATACACGCCACAGCATGGATGGGTCTCAAAGACACGCTTAGTGAAAGGAGCTCATTTATGTGAAATCTCTAGAAAAGACAGCTGTTGGCACAGATTGACCCTGTGAATTTCAAGGTTATTTTTATCTTTTTAATCTAGAGAACCGCCCAGGGTTGGGCTGTCGGGAGCTTGTCTTCAGAAACCTCTTCAAGATCCTTCCCGCCATCTGTCACGACATCACCGACTGGGTGGCGGGGACCAGGGTGAAGTCTGCGCAGCTACTAGCAGTGCTGCTGCTCCATGCTGAGGACCACATCACGCAGCACCTGGAGGTCCTGCTCCGGACCCTGCTCCTGGCCTGCACAGACGAGGAGCAGGCGGTGGTCAGAAGTGTGAGTACCTTCCCCTCATGCTCGGGGAGCTCTGGCCCAGAGCGTGCATTTCACCCTCTAGGTCAGCAGGTCTGTGAACTGCCCCACAGCTGAGACCAGGGTACTCCTGTCCCCCAACGGCCCCACCCCAGCCCCACCCTGATCTACTCTCGCCCTTTGCCACCATCTGAGAGTGGTAGGCAGGTGGAGTCCCACATCTTGGCCTTTGGGGTTGCTATTCTCACATCCTGATGCCTGGAGTCGCCCAGCTGTGCACCAGCCACCCAGCGTGCAATTCACCTGAGTCGGGGACCCACCAGAACGGAGCCCTCCCACCAGCCAGGCCCTCTGCCTTACAAGTCGATAGTGTCAGCTCTCTCAGGGAGGGTCAGAGGGAAACCAGAGCCTTTGATTTACTAGGGTTTGAGCATGTACCAGAAGAGACACTCCCGAGACTTTTCCGGGTGGGAAGCAGAGGTGCCGGGTGGGGGGAGGAGTCCTGCAGCCCCTCAGCCCTGCACTTTCTCCACAGTGCACAAGGTCCGCAGAGCTGATCGGGACCTTTGTCAGCCCAGACGTCTTTCTGACGCTGATCTGGCCGATGCTGAGGAAGTCACCCTCTACCTCTGGCCTCCTGGTCCTCGCTGCGGTCATCCGGGGCTGCCCGAGGGAAGCGCTCCGGCCGCACCTGAAGGCCATCACCACAGAGCTGGCCAGCGCTCACATCCGTCAAGGCTCCGAGAACGTAAGCATGGGAACAAGTGTGAGCAAGTGGGGACGAGTGGGGAGGGCGTCATGTTATCCTGGCAGTTTCCAACCTTGTTCATCTCACGGCACACGAACGGGTCACTAAAATCCTGCGGCACACCGAAAAACACCATTGTTGTGTCTCTGACCAAAAAAAAAAAAAGGTATAATTTTGATTCATTTGCACCGGACGGCTATTATGTTGGCTGTTGTCATTTTTTTATTTGGCAATCTAAGGGAAAGAGGTCAGTGCCCCTTACTAGATAGTCAGGTGCTGCGTGTGTTAAAATTCCTGCGTCACACCAGCTGAAAATCACTGTGTTATCAGATGGACGTGTCACTGCCAGTTACTGTCTGAACATAACTACTGGTCACTATAGCACGTCCAACCGGGACCATCTGACCAGCAGTGCTGGCCAGGGTGCTGCCCTGATCCTGGCCGGTTTGGGACCCATGTGCCTCCTGTCTCATTACGCTCCATTCAGCATGGTGGCCATTTAAATTTAAATCAATTAAAAATGCAGTTCCTCGGTCACACCCGCCACGTTTTAAGTGCCCAAGAGCCCCGCGTGGCCAGTGCTGCCATGGTTGTGCTCGAGCCCAGAGAGGGCCGCCCAGCGGGCAGCTCTGGCGGAGCCCCTTCCCACGGCCCTGAGGGGAAGCTGCAAGCCCCCCTCTGCCGGCCCACACTGTGCTTCCTGCAGGTGGCGTCGTCATAGCACCCGGGCTCTGTCCGTGTCAAGGGCTTTCGTTCATGCGCTGAAACAAGGGCCTGATGGTGTGGCTGTCACAGATCTGTTTCCCTTTCAATTGAGCGGTAAATCCGTAATGTCTGAAGCTGAAACAGTCTGGGTAGTTAGGCTTCATCGTGTGGAATAATTTATAATTGTTTGCTATTGAAGAAAAAATAATGATGTTTTTGTTGGGCTATGCTGGGCGTGGCCCTCCGGGTCCTTCTGTAGGGAGAGCAGAGCTGCCTCACGTGGTCTGTCCAGACAGCGCCAGCTCCATACGTGACCGTGGCTGCTGTGGCCACAGAACTGGGCCTGGGGAGGGGGACCAGCGGCTCCAGGCTCTGGCCGGCGCCTGTGCGCTCAGCGTCCATGCCCATCAGGTCCTCTGTCGCTGCCCTTTCTCTGGCATCAGAGTGAGGACACAGGTCAGTCGATGACGAACGTTTTAGTAAAAGTTTCCAGAGCCCAGAGTAGAGGTGACACCTTGGAAGGGGTGGGGTGGGCTGTCGTGTCTGCTCTGGGGGCTTTAACCACGTTTCCATTTGTCGCAAACCCATTTCTGACATAATCGTCCGACCTGCGTACGTTCAGCATTTGTGCTCACAAGTGGTTCTGAGAATGATTCTGGCCTCTGGGTGCTGATGTGCAAGCCAGGAGCGTTTTTCCTGGAAGGGCATAACTGAGACTGTGTGTTGCTGCTTAGATACTGTCTCACGTGCTCTAGCCAAGAAAATGTAACTTCGCGTCTCAGTGTTGTTACAGGAGAGTTTAACCCCTTAACCCGGAGTGCAGATTGGGTGATAGGTCCCTCGGGTGTCAGTGTTTTCCGGGAAAGTTCTCATGACTTTTTAAAGACAGAGAAATGCGCCCTGGCCGGTGTGGTTCAGTGGTTAGAGCATCGGCCTGCGCACTGAAGGGTCGCGGGTTCCGTTTCTGGTCTGGGGCACGTACCTGGGTCGCAGGCTCTATCCCCGGCCCTGGTCAGGGCTCACGTGGGAGGCAGCCGATCGATGTGTCTCCCTCACATCAATGTTTCTCTGCCCCCACCCCACCCCCCGTTCCACTCTCCCTAGAAAAATCAACGGGAAAAATATCCTTGGGGGAGGATTAACAGAAAAAAGAAGGAAAGACGCCTCTCTAACAAAGTCCCATCGCACGAGTGTCTCGAGATGCGCCCAGCCCTGCGCGGGCCAGGGAGCCAGCGTGAAAAAACTGAGATGTGCATTCGACTCCTCTGGACAGACTGAAACATCCGGCACCTCAGTCGTGGGCAGAGGCACCCTGCCCCGACCCGGACACGCGTGTGTGCCGCCGTGGGTGCATGTGTACCTGTGTGAGCACGTGTGTATGAGTGTACGCGAGCGTGTGAGCGTGCGTGTGTGCATGTGTCCTTAGGAAGTAGCTTATGGTTTCTACAGTTACCTTCAGTAGCTGTAAGAACAGGCCACAAATGTCTTTCTAGAACAACCTGAAATTTGAAAGCTCCCGTGTGAACCAAAGGGTCCTGGGGAGCTGGAGCCGCAGGTCTGGGCTTGGCACCGGCAGCCCCAGGTGTCCCGGCCAGCGTTCGCCTGGGGCTCAGGCAGGGAGCATCCTCCTCTTTGAAATGTTTGTTTAGTGACAGGTACCTGACGTGAGGAAACTGTGATAACATCGGGGTAATTCACTCGTCCTGTTTAGCCAAAGGGCACAGGCGTGCAGGCTCCGAGCTGCGTCACTGGAGAACTTCCCGCACTTTCCCGGGCCTCGGGGCTCAGGTGACATTGTTTCAGGAGCAGCCTCACCGGGAGTCTTTCTTTTTCACGCTGTGCCTCTGTAGGCAGATGGTGGAAGTTCTCTAGTTAAACACAGAGAACTCTGTACCCTTCCCTCCGAGCAGCTGCCATGGTCGCGGCAGGTGGCGCTTGTGGGCATGGGAGGCTCTTCCCGAGGGCCAGCGTCCACACAGCTCTCACAAAGTGAATTCCTCTTTATTTCAGTGGCTGCTCCTTAAATATATATTATAGGTCATTTTAAAAATTAGACAGAAATCATATCCTCAAAAAATCAACCAACCAGTCCAGGCTTAAAAGAAATTAGGCTGTAGGGAAAGTCAGGATTCGAACGTCAGCACCCCTCTGTGGCTCCTCGCGGGAGTGGGGCGTCCAGGACCTGCAGGCAGTGACGACGGGATCGGCCCAGCACCGCGTCACCGTGTCCCGCATTGATCAGGAAGCGGTTTTTGTACCATACAATTTTGTTTATTTTTGTTAAGACCTAGTATTACAGAATTACTCTAAAATGCACGTAAGTCGAGTAGAGGGGGCCTGTGGGACCGCCGCCCACGCTCCTGCAGTCCTGTCTGCCCTCTGCCTTTTCCTTGGTTCGGGGGAAGCTGGGGTGTTTTGAAGCAAATCCAAGATGCCCAGTCGTTTCACTAGTCAATGCTTCATCACTAGTCAGTGTCACTAACAGTAAGAACTTTTAAAAACGTAGCTAAAGTGCCATTAAGCAATTAACTAAATTAACTTGAACTTGTTATTCTCAGTCTGTATGCAGTTGCCAGTTGTCGAAAAAATGGCTCTTATGGTTGACAGGCTGGACTCCGTGGCCTGGCACCGTGGAGTTGTTCCTGTGGCTCGTGGTGGTGTGGCCATGGCCTCATGTAGGCCTGGGGCCGGGTGTGGGAGGTGGGCAGCGGCCCAGGACCGTGGCTGACGTGCTCCTCACTCTGTTCACAGCACCGTTACGGGGAGACCCTGCTGCTGTGCGTGCAGGCCCTGCTGTCCGTGTGCCGCGAGGACTGCCGAGGCTGCGGCCTGCAGCTCATGGAGGTTCTGGTGACCGTGATGGCCTTCACAGGTGCCGCAGGCCTTGGGGACAAGGTGAGCCTGCTGGAGACTCTCCTGCTTGGCCACGTGGCGATGGCACCATCCCTGAGCAGAACGGAACCGTGTCTGTAAATCTCGAAAAGACGGGAGACGAGTCCCTCCCGAGCTGGCCTTGGATACACAGGGCCTTAGGTGCCCTGCAACTGCCAGTTTACCTCTGTATCTCAGAGTGAAGACAGTCTGGGCGTCAGCTGCAGAGAGAGGTGGGAAGGAGGCGTCCCACCCAGCCCTGAGGTTGAACGTGCTAAAACACACGCGGAAGCTCTGGAGAGAGATACTGGCGTGATTTTCCTATGCAATTGCAGGCCATCTGCGCTGTCCCGTTGGCCCTGCATTTAGGCTTAAAACGCTGACGTCTGTTCCCCACAGGCCTGGGTGCTGCTTCTCCAAGAGCCGAGGCCACGATGCCATGTCCAGGAGGCACATCTCCATCCCCCTCCTTTCTCAGGGCCTCTTTAAACCTATTTTATTTCTATTTTTAAAATCCACTTTTTCAGAGGCCGAGTGTTAGCAGTCAGCTTGTCACTGCGGGGCCGTGAGTACTAGTAACAGCCATCAGCTACGGGTCTGCAGATAGTCCTGGCAGCAGCCACACGGAGCCCAGGACCATCCTGATTGCTCACCCCCTGAGGAGGAGCCGGGAGGGGCCGTGTGGTGTCGCCCATCTTCCTTCACCCTGTCCAGGGCATCAATTACTGTCACCCAAGGGTCTGTCGGGGTGACAGCTGAGCAGAGAGGATGCCAGGGGGTAGGCTCCATGAACATAGTTTAAGTCTGTTCAGTTTAGTTTCCTGGAGCCCCTGGTGCCCCCCAGCTCCGCCCTGCAGAAGCATGAGGACAGCTTCGGAGGACACCTGCTGCTCTCACAGAGGGGGCCCCGGCTGAGCGTCGCAGTGAGTGACGCTGGTCTGTGTCATTACCGGGGGTGCAGCCGGCACCTGCAGTCCTAGGTTCCTGGGACATGCTTCCAGGAATTTACACTGGTCCTCCTCACAGGACGTGGCCATGGTTCAGCTGGTCGTCCCAGCAGGACATGGCCCGAGAGGGGCTCTGAGCCATGAGGAGGAGATGGTCCCAGCCTGTGACTTGCATCTTCCAGGTTCAGGAGACCATGGACATGCTGGCCACAATGGAGAGTGGAGGTGACAGCCAGGACCTCTACCGTGAGCACATGGGCCCCCTCCTGGAGTGGCTGGCCGGGTCCCAGCGGGACTGGACCATGCACTCCCCAGAGCTCTTGCAGTTCAGCGTACTGGTCACCCACGCAGGTGAGCCCCCTTCCCCTGTGAACCAGAGTGCCCCAGGTGAGCTGTGCTGAGCTGAGGTTACTGTTTAAACGTCACTCACAGTCACTGTCATCTTCGGGGAAGGACTGCCTTAGGAACAAAACCTTAACTTTTGAAACACTGAGAACATTGGGCCGGAGGTGGGAGTATAGCTGAGTCACCCAGCAGTTTTCATGGCTCTTGCTCTGCAGAGCTGGGCACAAGCAGTCAGAGGTGAGTGGCTGCAGGAGCCTGGGACCTGCCTTTCGGGCAGGTTCTCCCTGGCCTCCCAGTCAGGCCTTTCCTGGATGGGCAGAGCCGGCTCTGATTCTCTGTCACAGGTGGGGCGCACACCTCAGAACCCAGAGGTTTTCAGTGAGAAGTTCTGATGACTTAATGCACACGTGTGGGCACAAAGTAGATTTAGTCGTGAAGCAGTTCCCTCCTGTTGTTGTTATTGGTTATTGTGTTATTTTGGGTAGGAAGTTGTAGAGCATGTGTGTGTGTGAGTGCATGCATGTGCACGGGCGGGTGTGTGCATGTGTGTGCATGGGCGGGTGTGTAGAGGTGTGTACGTGCATGTGCACGGGCGGGTGCGTGCATGCGTGTGCATGGGCGGGTGTGTGGAGGTGTGTACGTGCATGTGCACGGGCGGGTGTGTGCATGTGTGTGCATGGGCGGGTGTGTGGAGGTGTGTACGTGCATGTGCACGGGCGGGTGTGTGCATGTGTGTGCATGGGCGGGTGTGTGGAGGTGTGTACGTGCATGTGCACGGGCGGGTGTGTGCATGTGTGTGCATGGGCGGGTGTGTGGAGGTGTGTACGTGCATGTGCACGGGCGGGTGTGTGCATGTGTGTGCATGGGCGGGTGTGTGGAGGTGTGTACGTGCATGTGCACGGGCGGGTGTGTGCATGTGTGTGCATGGGCGGGTGTGTGGAGGTGTGTACATGCATGTGCATGGGCGGGTGTGTGCACGTGTGTGCACGGAGGTGTGTACACGTGTGTGCACAGGCGGGTGTGAGGAGATGTGTGTGTGGGCCGGTGTGTGCATGCGTGTGCGTGGGCGGGTGTGTGGAGGTGTGTGCACGGGTGGGGGGGTGTAGTCTCAGAGGAAGTATAACCACTTAACACCGTGCTCTGGGAGTGTAGGTGATGCTTGCTTTCCTGTTTATTCTTTATTTTTCTGTATTTTCCAAGTTTTCTGTAATAAGCATGTACTGAGATGAACAGAAAACAGGATTAAATATTTACTATGAAAATTCCTTCAATTCCATATTTACAGAAGTTCTGTAAGAAGATAACACTTTCAACTTAATTGTAAAACATTTAAACATAGAGAAACGTAACTTCTTAAACTTTGAAAAGATGGGGGGAGAGGCAGGTTCGCAACCAGAGCAGAGCAGGAGGGAGACGGGGCGTTTGCAGCAGATCCGGCGTGAGGCCCGAGCGCGTGGACAAGCCGGACGCCGTGTCCGGGCTGCGTGAAGTTAGCGCCGCTGGTAAGCAGGCGGAAAGATGCAGCCTTTAGTGATAAAGGCTGTCGGTTGGAACCGTGTCACACTCACGAGAACCCGTCCCGAGGAAACAACGCTAATTGCAGGGAAAGCCAGGTCCTCGGAAATAGTCAGTGGGGCGCGTTGAGTAGCAGAAATCGGAAGGGGCCCAGGAACCTGCGGTGGCCTCCGTGCGCGCCCTGGCGGCCTTCAGAGCAGCCCGAGGAAACACGCTGGACGTGCAGCAGAAAGCGGCTGCGGGGCCGGCACACGCCTCCCACGGGGCCGTGCTGGGGGCACGCGGAAGGGTCCCGGAAGCGTCTCTAGTTTGGGGGATTTGTTTTTTTAACATTCTGAATGCCAGGGGCCCACCTCAAACACCCCACAGACCCCTCCTGCGTCCGTGGGCAGGTGGCCGGTGGCCTGTCCCCTCTGTCTCCAGCAACGACATTGACCATGACTGTTACATTCCCTTCTCTGTTTGAGCCAGAAAACGCCTGTTTCCGGTTGGTTAAAATGTAGAGAGAGGTTAAAAAAAGGGCAGAAGTGACTCCAGGAGAGTGCAGCCCTGCAGCTGGGGGCCTGTGTCCTGGAGCCCCCAGGCGGGACCTGGCTGCCCTGCCTGGGCATCAGGCCTCCAGGGAGGTCCGGTCCTCTAGGTCAGCCGACCTGGAGGGAGGGCACCAGGTGGGGGGAGGGCAGGGATGGGGTCCCCAGGGGACCCCACCCGACCGTCCACTCCATGAGTCCCACCAGCTAGGCTTCCCGCTGGGCCCTGCTGAGGTGCCTGGAGGATAGGAAAGTTCTGCCCTTGGTGGACCTGGGGGTTTGGAGATGCCCATCCCTCGGGGTTTAAGTCGCTTTGCCTGCTGCCCTCGGAGTCATCACCTGTCAGCCAAGCACTGTGAGCTGGGGTTCAGAATGACCTTTCTCAATCCAGAAAGAAATCAGCTGTTGGCACAGGGCCTGACGCAGGGTGGGGGGCATCCTGTGACTCGAAGCTCATGTGCACCATCACGGCTCCCGCCCGTGCACATGCATGCACACACCTCCATGCACATGCGTGCACACACACACACATGCTCTACAACTTCCTACCCATCTGGAAAAGGAGTCATGGGGCGGCAAGAGCAGGCTAGAGTTGTGCGTATCTGAGGCCCCAGATGTGAGTCCGTGGCCTGTGTGTGAGATCCTGGTGCGGCACTCAGGGAATCGAATCATTTCTTCAAGTAACAGCCTGAAAAGGGAGGGTGGCTGCCAGGCTCGGGGCGAACATTAAGCACCTTGCAGATTCTCAGTAATTGATTTTGGTTGATATTTAACACATTGTTTGACTTTAGTTTTTTAATCTGGGAATATGTAAGAAAATAGAAAGTTTACGAGCTGAACGTTTGGGGGGGTGTTAAATGGTCTCGGTTACTTTTCTTTGATAATCACGTCCATGGTCCCTGCAGCTGTGGTGCTGGCTGCCTGTAGTGCCCCGGCTCCCGCCTCCGACGGGCAGGAACGGCCGCTCTTGTGTTCCAGGCCCAGCCCTCGGGGAGGCGCTGCCCCACCTGGTCCCCATCCTCCGGAGCTGCCTCCAGCCGGACAGAGACCCACAGATGCGCCTGAAGCTCTTCTCGGTCCTGTCCAGGGCGCTGCTGAGAGCAAAGGAGACCCTGGACTCCCAAGGGTATGTGGGCCCCACCCCTGCTGCCCTGCCCTGCTCCACCCCACCCGGGGCTCTCCCGGGGATGGGGCCCCCTCCTCCCCCACGCACACAGAGGGAGGTCTGCATAGTGAGGCACTAAATCAGTCCTTTTAGTGTGGTCATTAAAATTCCATTGGGTGAAAAAGTTTTAGGGAACATTAACTATTAATGGTTTATCTATTAGCTGTTCTCAGTTTAAAAGCCTTTGGGTACCTTTCAACCCTAACAAAGGATGGTTGAGTTTTGTTGGTGGTGGGAGCCTCTGAAAGAGCTTCAGGCAGCAGCCGGGCTGCCGGCTCTGTGGCTGTGAGGTGAAGGGAAGGAGCCAGAGGCCTGATGTCAAAAGGGCTGGGCCTGCAGACGCCCATCTTGCTGCGGGGCAGGGACCCTCCAGGGCCCATAGGTCCCTTTGTTAGATCCATGGACCTGGGTTGAGTAGGGCTGCAGGCCCGGCTGGCTCAGGTTGGCGCTGTGGGCTGTGGGCTGTGGGGACCATCCCCCGAGGGAGCAATCAGAGCAGAGCCCTGCGTGTGGAGGTAATGTGACGTTTCCTGCAGAGATGATGGGGTCGCCCACACTTCCCTTCTCTGATGTCACACTGGTCTCTCCCGGGAGGGCCACCTCCTCCAGGTTCTTCAGCCAGGTTAGGGGACCACCTTGGAGGACAGGACACAGGGCTGAGTCTTTCCAGGAAACATCTCCTGTGAATCGCTTTGCAGGAAACAGCTCTGCTTAAAAATTAAAGCACGTTGAAACCTAATTGAACAGTCGTAAATCATCCTGAACCAAAGGCACTTCCCAGACCTGCTCCCTTACCTCTGTCCTTGGCTCTGCAGTGCCCCCTGCTGGAGGCCACGGCCCTGCACCTCCCGTCTGTGCCACGGTGTCCTCAGCATCTGGGCTCAGAATGGAGCCACCTTTGAAATGTGCTTTGTGATAATGCTGGGGAGAAAGTTAATGAGTTACGTGTTCAACAAAATATGGTTTTGATCTCTGAGCAGAGGCCCATGGGTGCAGCAGGACCCCCCAGCAGTGCTGAGGCTTGTCTCTGGGTGGTGTGAGTGGGGGACTGTCGCCCTGCAGTACTGAGCCACCAGGAGATGGGCTGGGGCTCTGGTGTGGTGCTTTTTGTTTTCTGTCTTGATGGCACATTGCTGTGCCACCACTGAGAGGAAGTCCCAGCAGAGTTGGCCTGAAAGTCCCCATCCCCACCCAGGGTCTGCACTGGGGTCCCTGGGTCAGACCTGCGGTGTCCTTGCTGAGGTGGAGGGAGCGTGGTCAGGACCTCGGTTTGTCTCCGTGGAGTGTCACACGTGGGAGTGACTGCTGGCCTGTCAATGCTCCTGGTGACGCGTCTCAGTGTAGCTCATGCCTCCTCCTTAGAGCCTGGGAGTGAAGGTGCAGCCCCTTGGCAGCAACATGGGGTCTTGGGTCCCAGGTTCTCTGGGCTCAGGACCCACAGCTGCTCCCCAGAGAGGCCAGCAGGAGCCCTGGGGCTGCAGCCCGGCCGGGAGGGCCACCTCCTCCAGGGAGCGGAGGGCTCCTCCTGGGGTGTCTGCATCTGGCTTCATTTCTGCTGTCTGGCCTTTTCCCTCAGCCCACTCCCCACTGTGAAGCATCCCCCCAGGAGGCTGTCTGCCCCCTCACCTGCGACCTGCTTCCTCTCCAGGCAGCTGCACAGCTACCTCGACACCGTGATAAAGGACATCCTGGTCCCCAACCTGCAGTGGCACGCGGGGAGGACGGCCGCCGCCATCCGCACAGCTGCCGTGTCCTGCCTCTGGTCCCTCGTCAGCAGTGAGGTCCTGTCGGCCACCCAGGTCAGGCTCTGGTGCCTGGGCCCATGGGGGGGCTGTGCCCGGGCTCCTGGGCTGCTGTGTGAAGGCCCTGCACCCGCCCCATGCTGAGGGTCCCCTGGGAGTGGGGAGGGGCCGGGGAACAGGCGGGTGGGACGCAGAGTCGGGCAGCGCTCGCTTCCTTGGGTCATCTTGAGGGCTTTTTAGGGTTACACATTGAACGTTACCCTTCACAAGACAGACTAAAGACTGAACCGCAGGAGCCAGCTGAGCCCGACCGGCCGCGGGCTTCCTGCCTGTTTGTTCCTCTCTCCGGCCAGCATGGGGATTAGGGAAGCAGCAGAAAGGGTATTAAACCGTCGTTTCACTGTGCCTGTGACGATGTCGCACCCGGCACTCGCTCGTGTGCGGGCTCCACTTGGCACCCTGAGCGGCTGTGACTTAAGTTGAAATGTCCCCAGGTTTCTGGGGCACAGTGCGGACTAGTGAGTAGCGGGGGGGGGGTCTCAGTAAGACTGTGAAGAGCGACTTAAAAATCAACTGACCAAATTAAACAAAACTGCTCACATCACTTAGATCTTAAAATCCAGCTTCAAACCTACTTATGTAGAAAATTTCAAAATAGTATCCAGACTCCATTACATTCCTGCCAAAGCCTCGTCGTCATTGCCCGTGAACGGGGCCGTGCGTGGCGCACACATCACGTGGCGTCTGCCCTGCTGCAGGTGCAGGACGTGCGGGAGGCGCTGCTTCCCCAGGCTCTGACCACCCTGGAGGACGACTCTCAGATGACACGACTGATTTCCTGCCGGATCATTAACACGTTCTTAAAGTCTTCTGGTGGTGCAATGGATCCCGATAAAGCCACCAAGATTTATCCTGGTAGGAACTCCTCCTTTTCCAAACCTGTGCATACATTCGACCGCTGTCTCTTTCATAGGAAAGTTAGAAAATGCTACTTTACCTTCGGGTCAAGTTGGTGCTAAGAGTGAAACACGGCAGTGACAGATAAACATCACCAAGTAACTAAACGGAACAAGACAGGAGGGGGGCAGGGGGCCGGCAGAGGCAGGGGGAGCCCAGGTTCCCACAGCAGCCAGGGTGCAGCCCTAGCACAGCAGGGGCCCCTCGGAGCGGGAGCTGTGGCCGGGCCCTCGGTGCGTGTGCAGGAGGGGCTGCCACACAGGCCCCTAGAAGCAGAAGCTAGCGGGAGGAAGGGGCCAGGATCCCACCCCAGAGCGAAACATAGGTTATCCACCTCCTCAGAGTTTTTTAAAATGTTTGTGATCCTCGAAAAGGTAAATGGGTGGCATCCACTAAGAAACAAGTTGAGAATCTAAGCAGTAAATGGGAATGAAGAGCAGTGACCCTTGGCTCTGTCCCCAGAGCCACGGAGAGCAGGGTCAGCAGATGTCCCTCCTGCACTGTCTGCTCGTAGGGGAGGGTGGATGGCCAGGCATGGTGCCTGTGGGTGACAGGCTTTGAATCTGAGCATCGAGGAGCCAGAGGGGGCCTGGGCCACCTGGCAGGTATGGAGCCACGTGCAGAGCAGCTCGGGCCCAGCACACTGGGCACAGGCAGGACCCAGTCACTGCTGCACTGTGCCCATCCTTTGACCCTAGCGATTCCGGAGCCACCCCCAGCACTTTGCACGTGAGGTCTAGGTGCAGGATGTGGTCTCTGGGACCCAGGTGGGCACCTGTGCGGGTACTTGGGCCACACCCCTGCTCTGCCTCCCTCCAGAACTCCTAAAACGCCTGGATGACGTGTCCAGTGAAGTGAGGCTGGCGGCGGCTTCTGCCCTCGTCACCTGGCTCGAGTGTATCAGAAATGATGATGCGAAGTCATACTACCAGAGTGACATTCAGTACCTGTACAGGGAGCTGCTCGTGTACCTGGACGATCCCGACAGCACCGTGCAGGACGCAGTCTTGGGTGAGCATCCCGGTGACTCGCAGTTGATTCTGTGCCGTTTTAGGTGCACTGGCCCCTCTTCATGGCCGAGCGTCAGGCGGGCCACACAGGCGCAGTAGGCAAGGCAGTGGGGTCCCTCCGGGCCAGGCTCGGGCCCCTTGGTACCGTCAGTCACTGGACACCTTGAAGGATTCTGGTCTTTGTGTGACGCCAGTGGTATTTACCTTAATAGAAATTAAAATTGAGCAAATTGGGGGATTTTCATTAATTTACGGGAAGCCCATTCTCTGTTAACATAACATGTTTTTCAAAAATGTATTTTCCAAAGCAAAACACTGGGCAAGAAGGGTGTCCCTGTTCACGTTCCCTTTGCTGGGCACCACGTTTCGGTTTGATGTAACCCCACTGGTTTATTTTTCTCTTGTTGCCCGCGCCAAAGGAGACATAGCCAAAGAGATATTGCTCAGAGCTATGTCAAGAGTTTCTGCCTGTTTTCTTCTGGGAGTTTTATGGTTTCAGGTCTTATATTTAAGTCTTTAACCCGTGTTGAGTGTGTTCTTGTGTATGGAGTAAAAGGGTGGTCTGATTTCATGGGTTTTTTGCGTATATCTGTCCAGTTTTCCCAGCACCACTTACTGAATAGACTGTCTTTACCCCGTTGTATGTTCCCACCTCCTTTGTCACAGATTAATCAATCCTGTGGACATGGGTTGATTTCTGGGCTCTGCTCTGTTCCACGGGCCCATGTGTCTGTTCGTATGCCCGTGCCTGCTGTTTTGATTCCTGTAGCTTCGTATCAGTTTAATATTCACTTCTGGCATCTCAGGGTGTTTGCTGTTTTACAGAGGTCCTCAAAGCTGGCAGTGTCCTGTTCCCTGACCTCCTGGTGAGAGAGATGGAGGCTGTCGTCCACAAGCACCGATCTCCCACCCATTGTGAGCTGCTCCTGCAGCACATGCAGGCCGGACCGCCCGCTCTGTGACCCAGGCTCAGGGGCACGGCTGCCAGTGCCAGTGTGGGAGGTGGGCACAAACACCAACCCTCAACCTCCCCTGGGCTGGGGTTTGTGGCCTTTACACCCCACAACAGCCTGGGACATGGACAAGAAGACTGACAACAAGAATGTATTCCTAGGAAGAATGCTCAGCGTTCTCCTGGGACGATTTTTCAAGCCCAGCAGTTTCTGAAATAACATTCCTGGAGTGGCTCTATGTTTTTATGTCCTGTTTATATAGTTCACTGAGAGGTCTGCCAAAAACCTATAGCTAATTTGAAATTAAAACTAAATGTCAGCTATGCACACTGGCAGCCAGACCCATTCTCACTTGCTCGCTTTCTAGGGCTCCGTGCGCTGCTGGGCTCAGGGACTACTGGCTCCATCTCACTTAAATGCCACCAAGGAACTTCTTGACCATTTAAAAAAAAAAAAAGCCAAAGGGATTAAAAAGAAATTTCATTTTTTCTTTGGATTCTGTCTACTGACAATATCCCAGTGAAGAATCTAAAAGGAATCTGAAATCTTAAGAACAGGGAACTTTTTCTCATTTAAAATATACTGGAACTTAACATGTTTTGTGGATCAGTTTATCAGTATCTTAGGTCAGTGATGCTAAGTGTTGAAACGGAAGGTTTAATCCGATTCTGGCTGCTCTTATAATTTTATTTGATTCTCTAGCACTTTGTGCGCCCAAGTGCCTGAAAGGTTTCGTTTTAAGTGGTTACTCCATAGGCCAAATACCGTGTCTGTTAACACAGGTGGAAAGGGCTGTTTCCCAGCAAATAACATTCACGCTTTGGTGGTTGACTTAACTAAAAGTATTTGTTGTGATTATTTTGCGTGCTTGTCTTTGTGTGTTTTGGTGATTAACATTTTCAGGGATCATTCCTTTTAACCTCGTGGAGAGCCCTGGGCCTGGGCAGAGGGGCCCCGCTGAGGGCAGTGCCCTCTCTGGGCACCAGGTGGCAGGAGCTCCCGCGGGAAGACTGAGGGAGTCGGCGAGGCCGCCGGGCGGGGAGGCGGGGTGCGGG